TCTGATTTCTCTCAACATGAGGACAGGAGAGCTGTTAATCAATAAATTGGAAAAAAAAAAGTAACTTGCGTTACTTATTTGAAAAAGTAACTCAGATATTCTCTTGTAAATTAAAAAGTAATGCGTTACTTTACTAGTTACTTGAAAAAAGTTTGATTATAAATGTTTTTACTGTAACTTTTGATCAATTTAATGTGTTCTTGATGAATAAAAGAGTCAGTTTCTTAAAAAAAAAAAAAAGACGACTGTTACTCTTTACCTGCAAACACATGGACGTTGTCCGCTATGCTGGTGGTCATCTGTCGTTCCTGTACTCTGGTGATGCGTCTGCGGGGAAAGACCACCACTATGTCCACCTCACTGAGACCCAACACACTTCTGATGGCCGAGCCGCCCGTGTCGCCCGACGTACCTGAAACAACTGCATGTCTGAATCTCCATCACAGGACACAGGACTTCAGAGCAGATGTGAGACGGGCGTCACTTCATACCTACTAGAATTGTGGCCCGTTTGCCATCTTTGCGCAGGAAGTACTGCAGGAACTGAGAGGTACAGGACATGGCCAGATCCTTAAACGCCAGCGTTTCTCCATGAAACAGTTCCAGGATGGACAGCGAGTCCTTCAGCTGAACCAGTCTCACAGCTTCAGGTATGGAGAAGCTAGACAGCGCCTGCGAAATGAGCCCTAAACAGAGACAGACAGCAGGAGGTTTGGACTGGTTCATGATGTCTGATGAGTGTTTGGTCCAGGACGCGTCTCACCCTCTAGATCATGTCGCGGTATCTCCTGCTCAGGGATGTAGAGGGAGCAGATCTCACACAGCAGCTGCTGGTAGGACAGACGGCTCCACGTGAGCAGTGTTTCAGGAGACAGTGATGGGATGGTCTCGGGCATGAACATGCCTCCGTCTGCAGCGTATCCAGAGAACAGTACGTCTCTGAAGCTGCGGCCCTGAACGCCTGCACGCGTGCTGCAGTAATGCATCCTACAGAAACACCATTCACAAAAAAATGCTGAAAAACTCACCCTCAGACCATGCAGGAGGTAGATGAGTTTGTTTCTTCATCAGATTTGGAGAAATGTAGCATTCCATCACTTGCTTACCAATGAATCCTCTGCAGTGAATGGGTGCCGGACTCATTTGCATGGATTATGGACTCTATATTTTAGCCGGAAGCAATGATTTGAAGTTTAAAAAGGTCTTAATGATGGATTTGTTTCTTACAGACACGCAGTTTTTGGTTTCACAAGACGTTAATTGATGGACTGAAGTTGTGTGGATTATTGTGATGCTTTATCAGCTGTTTGGATTCTCATTCTGTCGGTACCCATTCACTGCAGAGGTGTCACAGTTATGCTTATTTCAGTCTCTTTTGGTTTCAGTTTCATGGACTTTTAGTTTGTTCATAGTCAGTTTCCTTTTTCCTTTGTCTTAGTTTCCCACCACTAATCTGTTTCCATGGACACTAACTCAATCATCACAGCTGTTCATTATTAGCTCTTCATCAAAGTGTATTTAAAGATTTTTTTATTAAAATATCCAAAAACCACTAGAACGGTGTTATATATTTTGCTGACTTGTGTACTTACATTATCCCAAATGTTTCGAAGAATGTTTAAATCCAGAGAAATAAGCAATTTTAACTAGTGACACGGAGCGTGTCATTTGTTTATTTTGAATACACGCCCTCTAGCGGCGAAAATCACATATTGTGCCTTTAAAGGGGTCTTATTATGCTCTTTTACAAAGTCTTGATTTTGTTTTGGGGATGTACTAGAACAGGCTCTCATACTAGGTTGTTCGAAAAACACATTATTTTTCACATATTTTACATTATTACAACACCTCTCTCCCCGTTGTGATTGGTTAGCTGGGCCAGTGTGTGTTGTGATTGGTTAGCTGGGCCAGTGTGTGCTGTTATTGGTTAGCTGGGTCAGTGTGTGTTGTGATTGGTTAGCTGGGCCAGTGTGTGTTGTGATTGGTTAGCTGGGCCAGTGTGTGTTGTGATTGGTTAGCTGGGCCAGTGTGTGTTGTGATTGGTTAGCTGGGCCAGTGTGTGTTGTGATTGACACACTCAGCACCTGGTCGGGAAATGTCATGCCCCTTACCATACTGCGAGCTTCAGTATAAATATTGCTCAAAATCAAATTAATTTGAGCGTGATTTAAACCCGGATGATTGTAACCACTCTAAGTTCGTCTGCTTTGGGAAAGCTAGCGAGTCTCAGACATAGTGATAACACTCGCTGCCTTCTCTAGTGCAGCTCAACCAGGTCTCGTCTCATTCGTATTTGTGATATCACAAATCCCGGAAAATATGTGTTGTAGTACAACACCAAATACACAAAATAATGTTCTTTTTAGCAGCATCATATGACCCCTTTAAACCCGGATGATTGTAACCACTCTAAGTTCGTCTGCCTTGGGAAAGCTAGCGTGTCTCCGACATAGTGATAACACTTGTTGCCTTCTCTAGTGCAGCTCAACCAGATCTTGTCCCATTCGTCGATATTTGTGATATTACAAATCCCGGAAAATATGCGTTGTGGTCCAAACGAGTCGTTCGTTGTAGTTTTTGAAAAGTGATTTCTGTTAAATAAAATATCTCCTTTTGAATTGGACTTTGAGCTTTGTAACTTTGCAGATCTTTTTTATGCTCAAACAGCAACATTACAGACTAACTAAAGTTGAAAAAGTGAAAAAGCATAATAGGACCCCTTTAAGTTCCTCCTTGTGTACTCTTCATTTGTCTGGTATTGTTTGTGTAAACCACACTGTTTCACCTGCTTGTAGATCTACCTGTATATGTTGGATTTAATAAAGACTTCTGTTACTGTGACTCTTCCTCGTCTTCATCTGACCTGAAGCGTGACAAGAGGATCCATTGGTGCGCAAATGATGGAATGCTACACTGCCGTCCAAAGGCAAAGCGCAGTAACTACACATTTGGACAAAATTGAGTTTGAGGCCTAAAATCGGCTTTGTGACATCTGTTCTGTCTTATGATAAAGTCTCCTAGTTCAATTTTGTCCCGTTTCAGAGAAACGAGAGTGTCAAAATTACATTAACTACAAAATCCAAGCTAATACCAAGGCAAACTGCAGTAAATGATGTTACTGTGTTCTAGCTTTGTTTTTCTGGCTTTGACACTGCAGATACTTCAGTCTGCCTTGGTAGCCAGAACACTCACACAGAAAGTTAGCTGGCTCCGGTAAAGTTATATTGTAAGGCAAAGTTAGCTAAAAGTTAGCTGCGCCTCCTCAGCAAAGTGACAACTGGACAAGAACACCCGGCAGCAACAGAAGCAGCTTTGAAACCGCTTAAGATGTCAGTTTTACATCCATTCTAAATCATAAACATCTTAAAGACATCTTCTAAACGTCTCTTTGACATCTGACAGGAAACATCCTATAGACGTATTGCAGATGAGCAAACACATCTTGCAGATGTAAATGCAGACGTCAAATAGACATCTCCGTGATGCAGGCTACATGTGCTATCAGGGTTACTACTGAGCAATTTTAACATTCACAACATGCAAACATCAATAAAACTATTAAAAGTTATTAAAAACAATCTACATGTAGTAAGAAACACAACAAGAAAGCTGGATGAACACATTTAGTTTGTAGATACTGCACTTTGCTTTTGCAATAGTGTTTTAGTTGTGTAAGGTCATCCAAAGGCAGAGTGCAATATCTGCATTTTGGTGGTCAAAGGTCACATCAGTGGTCATTCCATCGTCTTTTCTTGATTCACCTCATCTCCCTCTACTGCTCCCCAGATGTCACTTCCTTTAATAATCAGACATGCAGAGAAAATAAATATTGTTGGATGGAAAAAAGACCCCTGCATTTAAAAACACAACAAGAAAGTTGGATGAACACATTTAGTTTGTAGATATTGCTTTTGCTTTTGCAATAGTGTTTAAGGTCATCCAAAGGCAGAGTGCAGTATCTGCATTTTGGTGGTCAAAGGTCACTTCTTCTTCTTCTTGTGTGATTTGCGGCAGTTTAGACGCTTCAAAGGCGTATTGCTGCCCTCCTCAGTTCATCTGA